ATTCTATACTTGGAGTCGCAAAGCAAATTTTGATTATGGCACCTCTAGATGCCCAGAAATGGCACTCATTCAGACTTGAATATTTTATCTCCATTTAAAACAAAAATGTTTACAAATGTAGGAGGGTCCTGGCCGGCTGGGCAACCCACCACCTGTCTCTTATACACATCTAGATGTGTATAAGAGACAGATCAGTTCCTGATCGTACAAGTTTTTCTCTTCAATTTTTCCTGGAAGTTCCGGTTATTGACAATAAAGTCATCAATTTTTCCTAGAAACTCACACTTTCATGAATTGAATTCTTATGAAATGGTTTGATGACAGGCTGAGGTCAATTTGGCGATTAGGAACGGATCCAGATGTTTTTAAACGAGGGAGGGGAAACCAGTTTCATGAAGGCCTAAATGTAACAGATAAATATTATCCAAATTAATGGTACATATTAGTGTTCAGTATACCGTATATAAATAGTACCGTTTACAGTTTATATATGCCTACATTGAGAAAGGTCGCAGGTACGACCGAATATTCGTAGAAAATATAAGATATATGTTTCGGTGTACCTGAAATTGGTACTTTATTAATTAGTCGGGGACATCGCCCCCCCCCCCCCGTCGGGCAAATCGTAGCATGTATGTATGCGTGTACGTATGCGTATTATATATGTATGTGTGTGTATGCGTGCATGCATGTATGTATGCATGCATGTATGGATGGATTTAAGCTGTTTTATAAATTTTATAAATATATAAATTATATCATGGTACAATGAAGAGATGAACTGTCAGATACTTGGATTTGAAAGAAACAACAATTAAGGAAAAAAGTAAAAAATATTTAAGCAAGTTTGTATTAATATTCAAGTTTTATTTGAGAAAAAACAAATCTATTCAAAATATTATAATGAAAATAATGTTAAACTACGAATTACTGTATTTATTCAGCTTTAAAGAGACTAACCTTTAATGGATGTTAAATTATAAGAAAGTGTTATTATTATTATTATTATTATTATTATTATTATTATTATTATTATTATTATTATTATTATTATTATTTAATGGCCTTTTATAATTACCGTTATGTCATTATTTAATGTGTAAAAAATTGTTATTAAACTAAGAAAAGATGCGTATGTTTAAAGACAAGATTTGACAATAATTATTTTGTTTAATATAGTGTGATTCTACGTTATACATTTTACTTTCAACTACGCTGTTTGTATTGACATTTTGAGTCCTCCATTTTTTAGGCCTCATAGGCCTAAAGTATACGCTAATCGTTACGTCATCAGCTTTTACTATCTTTGAGAACATCTGCATTTTACCCTGAGTTTATTTTATTTATTTATTTATTCGTACTAACTAACAGCGATAACAACCGCCACTAACAGGTTAAAATACATATAAAAAAAATTATGTAAATAGATATCAAAATGTATTAAAAAGTACTAACAACTTTATAAAGAATTATCGATCTTCGTTACATTATTCTGTATGCAATTGAATCTGTTTTGATATGTTATAGCTTAATATCTCCTGTAATAATCATATTATCTATAAGAGTTAAAGGAGGAATGGAAAGTTAATTAATATGAAATGGTTTGATCAGTTTCTTTATCTCGTGCACACAGCACAACTTAACTCCCAGTTGTTTTCGTACGGTAAACAAGGCAACCCACCACCACCTGTAGATGAACACTTGCTTTCAACGAGATACAACAAGTTGACTTCATTGTCTGGGGCTACTGTTTTCGTACCTGGTATCACAACAGGATTGCTATCGACGCAAACATATTCATTCCGCTTGTGAGTGTGCATAGACGACCATAGATATCCATCGTATTCATTGGTCCATCCGCTTGGGCACTTCGTATCAGCCGGCATCATAAGGGTGACGCTTCGTGGGGCTTGACAAACGGCACAGGGAACATTATGTGTGTGAAGTGCTTTATATGGAGTGAACTTCTGACTACCAAGCCTGTATTCGGTGCCGGCGATATACGATCTTGTATTTTCGTTGGTCTTTATTGTAAAATTGTACGTTGGATTATCTGGAAGACAAAGATAATTGGAACCACCTCCAGTTTTACCCATCGGTGCCCCGGCCATCGCACCTGTAGAATTATATCAAAACAAGATTATATTGATTATTTTCGAAGATCAATACGTATTCAACTATTTATTACGCATACAATTTACCAAGAAGCTGGATTCTTCATGTTTTAAGAATACGATGTAATTTTACCTTTGTATAATCGTTGTGCAGTGTCTGGACATTCCATGCTCCCCCAGCGGGTATACACAGTGAACATCATTTGTAATTTTGGAACTAAAATAAATTTAAAACAAGATAGGTAATAGTTCTGGTTCTAGTGGGTAAAGCCGACTTTCTAAGAATTCCAAAAGTGTAAGATTATAACAACAATAGCGTTTCATGTGGTGCGTGGAGGCCGGGGATAAGAGAACATCCCCAAAACTACCCAGTCGCCACGACCCCGGTCGCCGCGACCAGCAGGAAAATCATGTTAAAAGTCAGTGAAGATTTTGTGTTTGTCAAGATACTCCAAAAGATGACGACATATAATACGTTTCATAAGTTTATATGAGATGCTGGTAAGGGATATGGGCCTGTAGTTGGCAGGATCATGTTCACTACCCTTTTTAAAAAATAGTGAAATATTGGCATTGCTCCAGTCATTGGGTACGGTAGTTTCCTATAAGCTCTAGTGACTTATTAAAAATGGCGGTGATTGCTGGAGCATCTGTGACATGTTTTAAGTACAACTAAAGGGAAGCCACTGCAATTTGTCCGTTGTGACTATAAGTATTGTCACTGCTATTTGCAGGGTTTCTAAAGTGGTTTCAATGTGGCCAGAATACATACATTATTACAAGATGCAGACCGCGGGCTCGTGGTGTTGGGGTGTACCCTTCTGTAGACTTATATGTGAAGGTAACAACGTTTGGCTGGCCTATTGTGGTTTGGAGCAGTTATGTTTCATTCTATACTGCAGTTTTAATAAAAGAAAGGAGTTTGCGAATCCCTCTTTATAGCAAAATTAATATTGGGGATGCACGAGGAAACTAGACCGTCCAAAATTGAGGTTGATTGACAGATTGTTGGACATATATAGTGTGCTGTAAATCGGGAGCCGTCTAGTTGGACGACCTTTTCAATGGTGTATAAACTGGCTTCAGACCGTGCCATCAAGAGCCGTCTGATTGGACAACATCTTCAAAGAGTGTGTGTGTGTCAACTGCCTGCAGACCAACAGATATAGCCATCACTGAAGTAACGAGCCTTTGGTTGTTGCCACCAAATGTCTTTTTATTAGTTGACTTTTTATTGTTGTACTAGTCCACAATAAGTCGATCATGTGACCTTTCTATCTAAACTTTCTCTTACCTTCCACTCCATTTTATTTTACTTCACCGTATCAACATCGTCAAAGGTTTAATTGTTTATAATAACAAGACTGGTTAAAAAGACCATGCGCATGGCGTACAATAATAGTTACTGGGGATCAAATTGTTTCTTAATATAAAATGATAATAAGTATTTTATAAAACAAACAACTTTACCTTTGTCTGGTTTCAGAGTAATTGGATTTGAGCCATTTGAACACGGCATCTTCATGATCTGCTCCTAATAAAATAAATACTACTGTATATAAGGCCTCCCAATGGTTGATATTACAAAACAACAACACAGCAACAACAACAACAATAACAACAACAACAACAATAATAATAATAATAATAATAATAATAATAACAATAACAATAATAACAACAACAACAACAACAATAATAACAATAACAATAATAATAATAATAATAATAATAATAATAATAATAATAATAATAATAATAATAATAATAATACTTTAATAAACTTACTTCCATTCTCGTAAGATGGTCGATACGTGATTTGTAGGACCCGACCATTACACACAATACAAGTACAGCAATACTGATCATAGTTAAAAGCCCGAAGGAGATGTAAACCAATTTTCTTATCTGTACAGTCCAGCTACGAAGTTCTCGTTCACTATCCATGACAAGTGAGACATCCATGCTGGAATGATTTGCGTTAAGTTCTGTCATTGTTCTTTGTTTTGTTTTTTTGGTTCGCTGGATGTACGGGCTCTGGGTTCTGCTGTCAGTTGTCAGATGAGCGAAAGCTCGATGCGCTGTGCTATTTAATTAAAGATGCAACTTGAAATTCCGTATAATGTTAAAAAACATGAATACAATAGGTCTATCTTGTTGTAAGCACTTTAATTGGTGGGTGTATCCTTAAGTATACTTGGTAAAGCCACACATATTTTACCACTGTTATTTAATATGCTTATCAGCTATCGCAGTTATTGGATAGTTTATTATAAAATTTTAATGAGAAATACATGTGTGAAGTATGTCCGCTCGCATAGTTTGCTCTTCCGTTTTTGTAAAGTTGCGTGTTATACCCGGGAGTTCGTAGCCTGCATTGCTTGCAGATTTACCGGTAGGTAATGTATAAACACGAGGTTGGTTATATTTATGTACATAGTATCAAATGCTTATAAGAATGAGTATAATTGATTTGCCATGCATCAAGGACTAGTGGCAGTGCTGTCCAACTACGCATGCGCGTGAATGTGACGGTTCTACAGATAACAAAAGGACCCGGGTTCGAATCCCGGTTAGGAACCTACTTTTTTCCCACACTTACATATTACATATTCCAGTAGATGTGTATAAGAGACAGGTATATAAGGCCTCCCAATGGTTGATATTACAAAACAACAACACAGCAACAACAACAACAACAACAACAATAACAACAACAACAACAACAACAATAATAATAATAATATGTGTATTTATATATATATACCTGTCTCTTATACACATCTAGAGCATTACCCCAAGACAGTTTAGGGTTAATGTTTTTAGTAGGGGGTGCGTGAAATTCGACACCAAACCTTAGCCCCACCATAGTTGGGCTGAGGTGCAAAAATTGTGATAATAAGAGACCTCTAGGTGCCCGGAAATTTCACTCTCGTACCTAAAAAATCTTACTGGTAATTCATATCATCAAAGAGTATAAATAGAACAAGAGAGCCAACAACGCTCATTGGGAGCGTAAAAAAACGATACGCTCTACGCAGCTAGTGTAGGACGCCAACTAACGCTTGTATATGTTTTATTACCCAGTACTGCACC